CATGAAGAATTAGTTCAGTATGAAAGGGCGTGACTAATAAATAGCGCATCTTCCATACCATTCTAATCGGGCTAAAACTACGTTCAATTTTATTCTTTCAAACATTAAAAATGCATCTAGAATTCCGCAGCCCTGCACCAAAACAATTCACCATCCAAGATGCGAGAAGGCAACTAACTATATCGAGCTTGACTCTATCCACACGGCTCACCACCGTTAAATGCACAACTGTTAGGGATCTTGCTGTCGATTCAATAGTAATTGCACACTTCCTGAATCCTAATTAGCCTGTTTCAAGGTTCAGCTTTAAAACCATTTATTTAACTCCGCCGTTGCCGGACCCAAATCAGGTTGAGAAAGGAGGGGGGGTTGCAGACCGTGCCAAAGTCTCCGCAAAATTTAGCCACCTGCCACTCATGGTATTGACGCCATCGAAATTTATGCTGGCTCGGTCGTAGCCTGGCTTACCAAGGTCCACACAGACTCTCAGGGGGGGACTGAAGCAGGCTGCGAAAAGTCGGCGATCAGAACCACCGGAACATGCTCATCGCTCTCAGCCAGCCTGAGCGTAGCAGCACAACAACGGCTGACGAAGACCAACGGAAACACAACGAAGATACAAGTCAGCAATGGAGTCGCTACACGTTCTGAAAGGAGACAGACGGCGCGAAGCCATTTTAGCAAGCCAGAAAAGGCTCCACGAATGCGACACCGTCACTGGGAGCTTACATTCAGAAACTGAAACATATACTCACTCACGGGGAAAGAACAAGTTAGTCGATGAGGCCATAAAGTTCCAAATCGAAATTGTTGGATTCTCATCGAAGAAACGTCAAGCCTCTGTGCTCTTGAACCTCAGCGTGTGGAAGCTATTCTACTCAGGTGTCGATATCATGACGTGCGCTCAGGCCGTTCTTGGTATTCTGGCAAAACAACCTCGCAGAAAGAGTCACTGATTGGAAGCCTGACAGCGGAAGGTTGGTAATCCTCCTACTGAAGTTATAACAGGATAGATCGTTGACCTTTGAAGGGAGAATATGATAATTTCCTTGGGGAACTGCATTGCGCGCTGTACCAACTGCCGAATACAGAGTCCCTCTTACTCATGGTCGATTTTAATGCGCATGTCGGACTAGACGCTGAAAAGTGGAACGGCGTGATTGGGAGAAACGGCCCTAGCGACCTCAAAAATACCAGCATGAAGTT